TCTTTTCCATTATTTCTTCTGCACCACTACTTTTTCCCCCTTCTCTTATCGTGTTGTCCAGTCCTTCTCCCCCCTCCCCGTCTATCTCGCTTCCCTCGCTCTCACTCTTGCATCTCTTTGCCTCCCTCATTTCTCCTCTAATATTCTCCCTCAGCCCCTCCCCGCTCTCTCTCCCCCTCGCCACCTTTACTCTTTTCTTCTTTTCCTTCTCTGGGCCTTTCTTATCCAACCTTCCACCTTTATCTCTTAATTTTTCTGTTGTCACAAATCTTTCCATCCTATCTCGTACGCCTTAATTCGATTCTCTATAACTACCCGTGATCCCACCTTTATTCCCTGTCTTACCTTTTCGGTCTCTGCCTTTACTTCTTACCGCCCCTCCTCTCTGCCTGTCTTTCCCGCTTTCTGATTTTCTCTCTTAACCTCAACTTTTATTTTTTTTCTTTATTCCTTTCTCTCTGCTTTTTCCTACTCCTCTCCTGGCCTCTCTCTCTCCTCTCCACTCCTCCTCCACCTCCACGCTCTTTTTACCTCTATTTCTCTCCTCAAACACTTTTCCTCTTTGACTTTCTCGCCAAAACTCGCGCTCACATCCAAGACACGTCCACACTTCCCTCAAGTCACCTTCAAAAATATAACCTTCAAAACCTGGATATGGCGAATAATACGACTAACTGTATGTATATACTTGGAAATGGTTACGAACAGGACGAAGAGAATGTACGCATCAAAATCATATTGGTGTGCGCATAAGGGCGAATACATATATATATATATACTAAGAGAAAAGTATTGTATTACATTTCCAATAATTTTTCATTTTTTAATTTCGCTCTCAAAAGTTATGTTTAACGTAGTCCGCCCATATAATTATGACGACAATGTGCGTTTCTTGGAATTGTAAAATTTTTACAGAAAGACGGCAGCTTTCACTGGATGGAGTTTACTCCACGTACCTTTTCGTCATAAAATCGCTTTCAAAGCTCATTTAAAGTAATATAAAATGGATAAGTGCAAAGTAGACAACAATCTGTGTATCCTCATTGAATTTATCAACGAGAATAATGCCTTGGCCGTGGGATATCAATGCTGGATCGTCAAACGTTTTAGCAAAGAGGAAATCCAGGCTTTCATTGACGATAAAGAAATCGTTGGAATATGGTGACCGGAATAAAAAATAAGTTCAGCAAAAAAAAGTCTAAAACACTGAAAGGATTACCAGAAAAGGAACGGAAAATCCACGTAGTTAGAATTCTTGCGTTTGGAGGTTAGTTCTAAAAAAAATAAGATTCCTTTATTTGCGCCTGTTATATTAAAAAGTACCTTATATTTATTTATATGTATATTCTACAGTAAATTAGGAAATTAAAAAAATTATAATTTTCAAATATAGAATTACATGTCGTCAATCAAATTTTTTACTGACAAAGTTTGTGATTGAATATCATAGGTGATTTCGTATTATGTATAAATTGTTATCTAATTTATATATATATCATTATAGATTAGACAACTATGATCTCTGAATTGGATTCGTTACAGAAATTAAATATTCAAACGACAACAAGAAAAAACAGACACTTATTTACAAAAAGAGATTTTGAATCTGACGATTACATCATAACAAAAGCAACTAAAAATAAGAAAAAGGTAATTTATTAATTAATTATATGTATATTAAAAGAATGTATTGTAACGGGGTGAGAATCCGTTTTATTTCTTTGTTTCGCTCAACGCACAATCGTACCGGAATGCGCGCGGCGAAATCGAAATATTCACGTTTGTTAACCGGAGAACAGAAGGAAATGGGGATCAGTCAACCAACTTATTACTAATGATAACAATACATTTCCGTTTCAATTAAACATGAGTTAGTTTATTTACCGATATTTACATCGCCGGTACGAGGGGATAGCAATTAAGCGCGGTCGTTTGTTAGAAATCGCGATGTAAAGCTGGTCGATTACCTTAGATATACGGTCGCACTATCAGGGGGAAACAAATCAGTATTGCCGCTTCCGGTATCTCAAGTTATTGTCTCTCTCTCTCTCTCTCTATGGAATGTTTCTTCTGTCGTAGGGTTTCACAATTTCGTGGTTAGCCTACGATGGCACTGTTTCACGCACATTCCAAATGACAACAACCGAGAAAATTTCGATGTAAACTATTAGCTGGTTTGCTTCCGCACTTTACTTTCGTGTTTGATTCCTCTGCGCTACTAGATGCTTGGATGGCTAATCTTCGACTGATTCTTTCCCCTTCGCGCGATGTTCCGTCCCGTCTCATACCGAGTCCCCGTTTTTCGTTTTCCCCGGCCGGTAGGTGCTGCCCCCATAGGCAGCTGCGTGATTGAGATGATAGCGCAAACAAGACGTTTACCGTCACAGTCTATTAAAATAATATACATATGTATATTAAAAAAATTGTTTCTGACATAGGTAAATTTATGTCTTGTATTTACATAAATATGTTTATCTCGTACAATGTCTCGGATCCCAATATATATTAGCACTGTATAATTAAACTGTAGGGCCAGTCGAGATGCATGTACGAGGTCTGTCCGGAAAGTATCGGGCCTACCTTTCCGTGCTAGCATTATTCTTTATCATCTGGTGGGTGGCATCCTTCAAAGTAATCCCCACTTGATTGAATAACACGATTCCATCGATATTTCCACTTTTCAAAACAGTCCTGGAACTCACTTTTAGGGATAGCCTTAAGTATACTCGTCGCATTGTTTTCAACCGTTGTTTCGTCATCGAATCGGTGTCCTTTGAGTGGTTTTTTTAGTTTTGGAAACAGCCAAAAGTCACAAGGTGCTATGTCGGGACTGTATGGAGGTTGTCGAAGCAATGCGATATTGTGTTTGTTCAAAAACTGCTGCACAAGATTGGATGAATGCGCTGGCGCATTATTGTGATGGAGAAGCCAGTCACTACTTTCCCAAAAGTGCGGCCGTTTTCTTCTTACTGCATCACGCAAACGTTTCATAATTTGAACGTAGTATTCTTTATTGATTGTCTGACCTGTTGGTGTATATTCGTCATGTACAACACCTTCACAATCGAAAAAAACAATCGACATTGACTTAACGTTGCTCCGACTTTGACATGCTTTTTTTGGTCTTGGCGATTCAGAATGCTTCCACTGTGAAGAATGTTGTTTGGTTTCAGGATCATAACCATAAACCCATGATTCATCACCTGTAATAACTTTTCTAAGTACATTATCATCATTATTGACCATTTCCAGATTGTCCAGAGCGATTTCTAAGCGAATGTTCTTCTGCTCTGCTGTGAGCAATTTGGAATGAATTTTTCACACACGCATTTCATTCCTAAATTTTCGGTTAAAATTTCTGAAATGATAGTTTTTGGTATCCGAAGGTCTTCTTCTAGTTTTCGCACAGTCATACGACGATCTTGTTCGATTGCAAGTCGCAGCCATTCAATATTATCTGCGGTTTTTGTCGTCGAAGGTCGGCCGAAACGTGAATCACTATTAACAGAAGTGCGACCATCCTTGAACCGTGTATACCACTCTTTTATTCATGTTTTGCTCATACACTCGCTTCCGAAGGCCTTTTGCTTCATTTCAATAGTTTCCGAACTCGTTTTTCCGAGTTGAAAGCAAAATTTGATACAAATTCGTTGATCTTGTTTTTCAGTCATTTTTGACAATATCAAAATCCGACGAACGCGAAAAAGGCTCTGTAAACAAAGACACGCTGCGCATGAATTATACGTCCGGCAGGTTGTCAGTAAGTAACCAATAGATTCGTGAGGCTTTACTGTTAACCGGTAGAGGTCGATCGAACACTATGGCGCGAAGATATAAACGTAGGCCCGATACTTTCCGGACAGACCTCGTATGCTGCATTCGGTTGTAGTACATATGCATTGCGACTACAGGAAACCTTTCTGGGTGGTATCATTATGACATCGAGCAGAGCGCAGAGCTGTATAAGTCTCTATGAGAGGACTTGGTTCTAATAATAAATCATATTTTAAATATTATAATATCTTTTACTTATTTTAGGCTGATAGTAGGACTGGAGAGAAAGTTACAAAACGCAAAAATGAAAGCACAAAGAGGACAAATACAGTCTTGGAAAAAATAAAACTTCAAAAAAATGAAAATTCATTGGAAGATGAGGTTACAACTGAATCAGAGTCTGTATCATCTGAGGATTTCGAATCATTATCCAAAAGCAGCAAAGTGTCTATTGCTTCACAAGTATAAATTTTAAAAATAGAAAATAGAGAACTTAAAAAAGCTATTGACGAGTATAAAAGTAAGCATAATGCAAAATATTGTTATGCACAAAATATAATATTTTAATATATTTCAGCCACAGATGAAGCGAAGTCAGAAGCTCGAGGACTGTTGCAGGATATAAAAGTAAGCAGACAAATTTTAAGCGAGATTAACCTAGTATGTAGTAAATGTAGTAATAAAATTAACATTGATGAATCAAACATGAACTAAAAGAACACGAGCCTCTCTAACTCAGAAAATATCGATAACTATTCTTCACTTGATAAGGTAAAAATTTTGTTATATCTGTTTCATTATGTACATATGATTCGCGCACATTCTCTTGCTTAATCTCTTAATCTATAAATAAAGCATGTACATATACTATCTCTATTATTCTATCTTCTTTTAATAATTTTATTATAATTACAGTCAGAATCACTAAAGAATACAAGTACCCCAAAGAAAGCTGCTAAAACTTCGTCAGTACGAGTTGCTGCTACCGAGAAGTAATCTACCGAAGAGGTTAGTGTATATATGTGTGTAAGAGCAGTATTTAAGAAGAGAGAAAAAAATATATAGAAAGTGAGAAAATAATTTTGTATTATGATTTCTTTCTCTCACTCTCTCTCTCTCCCTCTCTTCCTCTCTATAATTTTTTCTAAGATTAATTTGTTTTTTTCTCGCTTACACTCTTCTCAAACTAGTCTCTGTAAAATATTTAATTATTTTTCCCATTTCAGATGCAGTCTTCATCAACAATTGGAATAACTCCAAGAAAACGTAGGAAGCAGAGTCCATCAATGCCTCATAACCCCCAAGAAAGTTTCTCTCAGAGACAGGTACAAGGGCGCAATTTTAGAGATAGCACATACAGAAAAAGAGAAAATTTATGTGCGTATGTATTATGAATGAGTAAATAAATTAGACTATTATAGTGTTTATTTTAGAGTGAACTATTAGATGCTGGTTATTTAGACAACGCATACTTAACAGATACTATAGCTGTCTTTGATTTTACGTATACTAAATAACCAGTATTTCTGATAAAACTTGACCCCCATTACCCCAGCCTGCAAAGTGTAATGGACAGTGAAAAAAAATACAATTCGAAATATCTAATTGAATCCTCCAAAACTGCTCATTATTTTAATTCAACCCCTTCAGTTGTCCCAAAAACATTAAAAACGATGATAATTTTTTTGTTTTTTGCAACTGCGATATCTTTAGTAATACTTAATATCTTTGCAAAGAAACAAGGTGTAACGGTCCTATCTATGATCTAGCTGATTATGTTACTGAATCACTGCAAACCGTCAAACGCATGTATTTGTTTACTCAAATCAGCACATTAAACAGCGCCACCTCACCGATTATTCGATTGTATTAGTACAAGAGTCTAATTTCATAACCAAAATAAGGAGTATGACGTCACAAAGTAATAAATATAGATATAATGATTTTTGTTATTTAAGAAAAATATGTTAATTAGAGATAATTTTGATATAACAAAAGCATTTCTTATATAGGTTTTAGTACGCAGATTTAGAATATAGTCATACGAATTGCGTTTAATTATTAAATAATAATGAATTTTAATATGCAAAGTTAACTTATTTATTACACTAAAAATATGAATTATTAGAAAAATGTAAATAGTCCATATGCAAAATGAATAAGAAAAGAACATGAGTAAGAATTGGTTTCATTAATAACAGCTTAATAATAACTGTTATTAATAAATAAACAAATAATAATTTATTTAAACAATAAGTTATGCCGGCCAGCCGTAACTTAGTTTTTTTTCAATATTAATTAATAGATATAAATATGAAGAACGGAGCGGGAATCTTCCTGATTTTTCACGATGAAAACGCATACGAGATAAAGAGTTTATATAAAACTTAATAGTGGCCCGAGCCTGCGACGCTCTATCCTGCTTTGTCCCACGCGGATGTGTTGACAGGAGCCTAAGATCATCACGTATACCTCGTGAAGCGTTATCACGCCGATAACACAGTCATCCAAAAATACCTTAATTTTTTGCACAAGTAAACCATATATGTTTTCCCAAAGAATTTTTGGCGCTGAAACCAAATCCGGCCTCAAAATTGCTCCAGCATGTCAGGATTTTGAGATATCTTAATCTAAAAGTGTGAAAATAGCGATTTTTACCTATATTTGAGGTTATGTAGCACCACGACATTATCTACACGTAAAAAACTACAAACGACATATTAAAGGAGCAGTCTAGTCCTTTTAAATGCCGTTGAGTTTGCTCAGTTTGCTTATTTTTTCTTTGAGATATTAAATTTCAAAGTTTTTCATTTCATGAATATTGTACCTTTCAGAACATATAGCTTTGAACGTTTCGACGTCAAATTTTGTCTCAAGCGTCTTCAATCAATTACTGTTCTACAACATAATTAAGATATATATCATGGATAGGCTAACCCAACTTCAACCTAAATTACGTCATCCCCACGAACCCTTACTGCCCTTATAAACCACCCCTACGTGAAGAGGGGTATATCAGAGACAATGTCAATGAGATATTCATTTTTTTACAGAAAAGCAGTTGATTAAACTCGCTCCACCAAGGGTTAGGTGGGTTAGTTTGCTTGGGGGTTGGTAGAGGGGGCTTCTGAGGGTTGTAGGGTTTTCTGAGAATAGAGTACATCAAGGAGACAACAGGTAAGCCTATCTGTGGTTAAGATCTTAGGTTCCTTATAGAAAAGCAGTCGATCTACCCAGATTTGTCGTAGGTAGGTTAACCTGTTTGAGGGTTGGCAGGGGTGGTTTTTAAGGGTTGTAAGGATTTGTGGGAATGATATAATTTAGGTTAAAGGTAGGTTAGCCTGTTTATGGTATATATCTTAATTTTCTTGCAGAACAGTAGTTTATTGAAGTTGTTTGACATAAAATTCGACGTCAAAACTTTCAAAGCTGTACGAGTATATTCTGAAAGGTAGGGTAAGTGGTTTTGTTGTGGGCACGGTTCGGTTGTGGACACCCCTGCGTTTCTGCTGACAGAAAACAGATGAGGTTTGTCTAAAAAATGTCATTTATGTATTATGGCAGCCTTTTTTTAATGCCAAACATTGAATCGAAGAAACGCGTTTGCTTTGTTTTGTGAGTAATTTAATTTTTCTGTGCTTGAAAAAAAATCACAAAAATTTATTTAAACTTTTTCAATAGTATTAGAAATCTAAGTGAATCATTGAAGGTAAGTGTAATGCATATTTATTCAGTAGGAAGTTACTTCTACTTTGTGATGGAATATCGATTGCAACTTATATGTTAAAACCAAAAATTTCTTTTCACCACTTCTTAAGATGCCTGACAAGTTCAATTGTGGGCACCGAAATTAGTTCTGTTATGGGCGCCCGTTTTTTTTTTTTTAAATGGTGAAATATCGACGTTGATTGAACCTAATTACTAAGTTAACAATATCTAATGAAATATACGTATGTTGATAATTTTTTATGTTCCAATGTATTTTTACATTAAAATATTAATGGTGTTTTCATGTATTTTTCGATTTTTTTAGCCATATCGCCCAAAGATAAATCGAAAAAATCGTCCGGTATGGATTTTAATGTGCTACTTGTTGCGATTAAACATTGTTCTGTCGATAAGCTGTCCATAAAATCGACTGCCGCAATGTATGCCATTTCCCGAACCACTCTTCAACGCTACGTGAAGAAAGTGGAAGAACATTTCGAAGACATCGAAACCGTCGAGGATGATGCTTTATTGGATTTTCTTCGAGCATGTAACAAGCACGTGCCATCGAATCAGGTCTTCTCGACAGCCCAGGAGAATGACTTGGTCACATACATTTTGAAATGTTCCGATCACTCCTACGGACTTAGCATAAATGAGGTGCGTGAGTTGGCATACCAGTTTGCTGTGAAGCTTGGCGTTGATTTCCCCAACAGTTGGAACAAGGATGAAAAAGCGGGCATGGAATGGTATAAAAAATTCAGGCGTCGACACCCTCAATTGACTTTGCGCACCCCGGAGCAAACATCGTTGAACCGCGTAAAGGCTTTCTGCACAACTAAGGTGCAGAAGTTTTTCGACCAACTCGGCGCGATGTACGATGAGCATCATTTTCCGGCTACGCACGTCTATAATATGGATGAGTCTGGGTTTTCTACCGTTCCAACGAAAATTGGCCGAGTGATCACCTTGAAGGGCACACGGCGTGTTGGTAAGGTGAAAGCCGCTGAACGAGGCACCATGATTACCATGGCATTGACAGTCGACGCTAATGGAAACAGTTTGCCACCGTTTTTCTTGTATCCAAGGAAAAACATGCAAAGCTGCTACCTAGATAATGCCTCTTCGGGTACGGATGCATTGGCAAACGGCTCTGGATGGATGGATCAGCCGTCATTCGTTCGCTACATGCGGCATTTTATCGCGTTTGCCAAACCAACGCCAGCTTCTCCTGTTTTGCTGCTCCTGGATAATCACTCCAGCCAACTGTCGGTAGAAGCGCTAGACCTAGCCGTCAAGAATGGCGTGCATATTTTTTCACTTCCACCGCATTGCAGCCACCAGCTTCAGCCTTTAGATGTTTCTGTGTTTGGACCGGTGAAGACTTTTTACAAGTCACAGTGTTCGGCTTGGCAAAAGAACAATGCCAATAAGGACTTGGAAATCCGTCACCTGGCCAGCTTGATCTGCAAAGTGCTTGATCTGGCGTTGACACCAAAGACAATCAAGTCTGGTTTCCGCGCAACAGGCATCATGCCATTCGACCCAGACATTTTCAGTGAAGCTGATTACGTTAAAGACGTCGGACAAACTCCAGAGCCATCTACTTCGACTTCGCGTGCAACGTCAGTGAGCAATCTTTCGATTTTGGATGACGTCGGTCCATTGCGTGGTGCGACGCCGAAGAAGCCATTGAATCGCGGCCGCAAACCAATGGAGAGTTTGATACTGACTTCTCCGGACGTTCTTTCTGGTTTCAAGAGGAAAGAAGCTGAGCGGAATGCTACACAAGCAGCCAAAAAAGCGACAGCATCTAAGCGCGCCAAATTAACTCCAGGCAAGCGCACCAATCCAACTTCGTCTAAACCAAGCTAAGCGCGCCAATACAACTTCATCTAAACCACCAGCTAAGCGCGCCAATACAACTTCATCTAAACCACCAGCTAAGCGCGCCAATACAACTCCAGCCAAACCATCGGCTAAGCGCGCTAAGCCAACTCCAGCCAAAACAGCGGCTAAGCACGCTAAGCCAAACGAGTCTCCGCTATCTGACGACGATGTGGACTTCTGCCTGATTTGTTTGACGTTTTTGCCACGCAAATTGACGGACGCCAAATCAACTGTAGCGAATGCGATCGGCCCGTCCATCTGGAATGTGCAGGCATGCGCGCCAAGTATTTCACATGCAAACATTGTGTTTCAAACGAAGAATAATGTCACAAATTTTTAAAATGTTGTTCTAAAATAGTTTGTTCTAAAATGTTAAGTAGTAGTTCTAAAATGTTAAATAGTTGTTCTAAATTGCAAAATAGTTGTCTAAAACGTTGTTCTGCAATATTGTGCGAAAAGAGTTATATTCTAAAATAAATAAACTTTCACTTTTTCTATATTCTTGGTGATTTTTCTTCATATTTTCCCATTTTCAGCAGATTTTGCAAGGGTGCTCACAACCGGACCAAAAAACTATTTTGGCCGAAAATGACCACTTCACAATATTAACAAAAAAATGTTTCTATTTGACGGAATCAATTTTGTCCCTTCGTTGGTAGTTAGCTAAGGTCTCTAGCTTTCCACAGATACCCATATGCCGAAGAAATATACACTTGGTGAAATGTTATGAGCCAAAAAAAAAGTGGTGTCCACAACCGAACCCTTTCCCCTACAATATT